AAATGATGAGGCGGCGAATAACTGAAGAAACTGAACGTTTAATGGGGCGGACTTTGCCCAAAACAAAAGAGAATTAGGTTAGTGTCGCAGGAGCGATGTCGGCGAAACAGCGGGATCGAGCGCTGTGGCGAAACTGACTGCGGCTCGCCACGCGGAGCCCCTTATGTGCACGCGTTGGCTTTTGGCATAATCGGCGTAGAAGGTTCAGCGCTTAGAACATTTGATGTCGTACAAGCCAACAGGGTTCTCGAATTTACCAGAACATTAAACTGAAAGAATAGATAAAAGACGCGTAACTCCCACGAATCGAACCCTGGGCCTCCACACGAAAGTCTAGCGCGGTAACCACTCGGCCACGCACCCGCTCGCTCGGCGACGCGAGTGGCAATATTTTTCATCATCAGTAAAGAAAGCTACTTCTTCATCTGTCTTTGCACTCAACTTATAAGTAATCTGAAGAAATTCATATTTCTGTTTACTTAACATTACGCATACACATACAGCCCGTTGTAAATAGTCAAATCGTAAATTAAAAAAAAAAACATACTTTGTTTTGCCAGAACCACATGGACCATATGCTAAATTTATAAATAACCATACTAGTACATTCCCATTGATATATTTGGTTCTGATATAAACTCTAATCTTTCATTTAGTATAGTGAAATATTTTAAGTCTACTTAAAATGATTCGTCTAGAAAAAATGTGGCTATATAAATGGATCCAGTAAAGTATGTCAACATGTTAAGGGACACTATAAAAATGAGAAAGCCAATAAAGATGGCGAAAGAATCACTAAGAAATGATATGGAATTAGTCTTAGAGCCTGCTACAAAAAAAAAACTTAAATATCAGACAGGCGATAAGAGATCAGCGTGCAAAGACATTTGACCTTGCACAGTGTCGAGTTTACAAGCCACTACTCACAAAGCAAATACCTCCGACTTATATAACAATGTCAACCATTTATGAGTAGACGTTTCATCTCCCATGCGGGAGACATCTTCAGTGCAGCCTAGGAACAACCCGACTAGCTACCAGCAACCAAACGCTTGCTTTGACTTTCTCTTAATCCGTAGTGTTGGTTGCTGGTAGCTAGTCGGGTTGTTCCTAGGCTGCACTGATGATGTCTCCCGCATGAGAGACGAAACGTCATAAATGTTGACATTGTTATATAAGTCGGAGGTATTTGCTTTGTAATCATAAATCCCGGTTTTCGAAACATTTTTGCAGCCCTTACTACATCCACTCTAGTAAATCGTAATCAATAAATCAGTGAAATTTTTGGTCAGAATTTTTATAGAGAACTTGAACTGCCTCGTTTGGAAAATATCTTGAATGAATAGTTGATGATATGTATTAACTTGCAGAAAAATTAGGTGAATATACAAGTATATCACAATCATAAGTAAAAAAACTAAGCAGGGAAATTAAAAAAATGTTAATAAACTGGAAAAGATTAATTAGAAGTACAATATGTTGTTATGGAAAAATAGAATTCCTTAGAAAATACTAAGATGGACTGATAAACATTATAGGTAATGAGGGAAAAATCGTTAGAAAGGGTATTTATACAAGTGTCTATGATCTTATAAAATAACCATATGTTAATATTGAAGATAAAAGAGGTGGAACATTTCCAAGGAACTTGTAAACTAATCATGTTCTAAAATAAATATTTCATAAAATATTAAAAAAAATAATAAGACCAGCGTAGACGATTATATATGATAAAATATTTTTGTCTAATAAATGAAGGATATTCTAATTAATAAAAATCTTATAAATTGTAAAAGTAGTGTAACATTTCATGAGATACAGAGGTTAGATCCAAAAAGAAAACTGTTTATTGCAGTGAAAGAAAGTGTGATCCCTTACACATGGCATAATAAATCTGCAAAATTCAAAAATAATATTTGAGTGTACATTTAAGATACAGGGGAAGCAAAACATAGAACCACTGACGATGGTAATAATGATTGTGATTCTCTGAATTATCAAATAGTTAAATACTTGAAATTGCCTATCAAACAATCACTAGATGGAAATGAAAAGGAAGAAACTGAAGTAATCAGGGATTTTTCAGCAAATGTTGCAAGAGATGTCAGGACAATATTTATTCATTGTAGTTTAGAGATGTTTCTTCAGATGATAATGAAATTACGATGAAAAATGATTTACTTCACACGTTTCTTCGAAACAAAGAACCCAATTCATGGCTAGTATTCAGCCCAAACCCATTGAAGTTTGAGATATAGTATGGTGAGATCATGGAGTTTTCTTTAAGAACTACAGATCAAAACAATAGTTGATTTTAACAAAGAAAAATGTTTCATTACGTTAGATATTTCTTGTGAACCTCTGTACAAACTTTCTATAATGAATGATTTCACTTACGAATTCTCGTCAGCACTTTCGTAAGCATTCAATTAATGTCTACTTTGATATGCCATAACATTTATTTTTAACGAACTTATTACAACTCCATGCAAGGCTTTTAGCATCATCTGGTAAGTCATTGTTTCATCGTGCGAAACCTAAAATGTTTTCATTTGCTAAAGATACATCTGCAGAGGTTAAACCGGAATTACAAAATGCAGCATCCAAACTAGTTGAAAAATGCCTTAAATAATCCAAAACAAATGAAAGCTAAAGAAATGTACGGCTTAGAAGAACAGGTTATTCCAATAGCAAAATAGGATGTACAAAAACATATGAACTTTTACGCGGAGGGGGTTACTAATAATCAAAGGAATGGGCAAACAATCGAAAGTTTTTTTCCAACTGATGAACGTCATGACTCTGAAATTGTTAGAAATTCAAATGATTCTACAAAATCTCAAAACGAAGTAGAACGCTTGTGTTCGAACAGCCAGGGAAGCCCTTAGGTTTTCCAAAAGTGTACTTCAATGCAGACTAAAAATTGTTAAAAGTGATGACACGAATCTCAGTGATGCTGATATTGTTACATTTGTTTATAATATTGGTGCGAATGTATTTTTAGAAATTAGAACTGTTAATGATAATGTAATCTAATAATCTTTTTTTTCCTGGAACCAGTTCAACGATCCAAAAGTTAATCACTTACTCAGATGATTTTTCAAGGTCTACAGTCACGTCCGAGTTTGGTATCCAGATACGTCTGAAACACATGAACTAAACAGTTATAAGGTCATCGAAGAGGCCCAGAAGACTGTTACTGGTGTTAAAAAAAAACAGGATAAAACAAATGATTTGCCAAGAGATATGATGTCACCAAAAACTCAAAGATTGTAGAATTGTCCGTTAAGATCAAAGATCTAATATAGTTTTATTTTTGAAATTGATAAAGTATACCAAGAAATGACATTTAAGCTAACACTAACTAAAAATGATTACACAGACACGTTAATTAGCACTGTAGAAATTTACCAAGTTCTACTTGACAGTCTATTGAGGAAGATTCCAAACAACACCAAATTTGGAAACTCGAACCCTCTTAACCGAACAATAAAAGAGTAATGAGATCGTATCATACGAATGGAAAAGTTTTAAAACCACTAGAACAATTGAATTTGATTATGCAGAGCACATCATAGATTTTCCAAAAATATTATATAAACCAAAATGTATTTATATTTTTTCAAAACATTTCTAGAATAAATTCTTCATCTGGAAACAACATGTGCTTTGATAATTTCAACTTGGAAACTAGAAATGTAGAAATAATTCCTTCATAGATTCTTTCCAATTCATTGTGACTTCACACCAAGCAATTTTGTTATTGACGATGCTTATAATGCGTTTTTAGAAGCCAGATTTAAGACTGCAGACGTAGTACCGGGAAAGTAGTAACAAAACGAACATTTGCAAGTCTATATCCAATATTCTGTTTTGATGTTACAAATATGCCTACGAATGCATTTGAAAATGCTCACAGATCTCTCATGTGGGTACATATTCCGAAGTGCTCTGGCTACAAGGTACATAATGTATGTGATTTGCAAGTGTGATGGAAAACTATGTAACTCTATCTGATAGTGAAATGATGTTTACCGAAATATAATATTTATTTCTGATATAAGTGTATATTCTACACATTGTGCACCTATCAGAAAGTCAACAAAATAAGATTCAATCAATCAATCAATCAATCAGAGCTTTATTGTGTTTCCCAAACAGCTTTAGGGGCCTTTTTTTATGGTTAAACTTGACCTAATAAAACAGCACTGAACTAAACCAACTTCACGGCAATCCTGACCACTATACTATTCCTGAACTTTTTAAAAGGTATAAAAATGTCCACGTGAGGGTTAAAAAACTCGTGCGTGAGAATACTGGACTCTAGGTAAGATAGCTACCAAAAAAGGAGTAGACCTATTTTTGTCGGTGGGGGGCATGAATTGAAATTCTACTTAATAACATTGGGGAATCAAAAACAGAATTGAACAACTTACATAAAAACACCATGTCGCGAACTAGTCGCCTATTTGAAAAAGGTGAAAGACCAAGAGTGCCCAAAAGAACCACATAATCATAAAAAACACTCTGTCCAATGTGGCGATCGTAGACAATACTCACAAGTCGTCTCTGTATGCACTCCAACCTGAGCGCCTGACTGACACCCAAAGAATTCCATACCGTGGAACAAAAGTCCAACCGTGATAGAATTCCAAAGCCCGAAAAAGGTTCAGTATGTGTAATTTCGGAAGTCACGGGCAATGCGTGCAGTTATGCCCAGGATGCGCTAAGAATCATTAATAACCTTTGAAACATGATAGTTAAAGTTCAGGCGTGAATCGACCAATATGCCAAAGTCAGTGTGTAGTTTCCCGTGACCTTCGGGAAGTGCGCAGCTATGCGATGGGGAGTGACGTTCACCGTACAGGAATGGGATGGCTCTTCAGCTACGGTGATTTGTCCCAAATGTGCAGGACTCGGAGCGGGTGCCGGCGGCCTCGAGCCTAGACAACCTGCACGTGTGCGTGGACCTCTTCTGCGCCAAGTTCTGCCGGTATCGTAACCTGGCGCGCATGGCGGGCATGCGCCCCACTCTGGTGTTCCTCTCGCACCACGCCGACCTCAACGAGGACAAGAGGGGTGAGTGCATGGGTAGGCAACGTGGCGGCCGTTCCGCGGATATGCCCAGCTACTGACATCAACAACAATTACGTGGAGCAGGTAACGTTTCACTGCTCGAAAGGTTACCAGCAACATTTCTATCCAAAATTCTGTCAAGCGTTCGTTTAAATTCGCCTAGAATACATTAAACAGTCGTTTCGGAGTGTGAACAACATGAAGTTTTCGTAGACCATTTTCCCTATCTCTGCTACGCTTTTCGCAACGTAGACGCCGCTAGTGTGCATATCTTTGACTGCAGAGTTCCGGATCTCGTACGTTCCGGAGAGCCGTTGCGGGACGGAAGAAACGATCTACGAAAATTCTATATTAGGGAGTTTTCGCAGATAGTTTTCGCCGTCCCGCAACGCTCTCCGCAACCCGCTACGATACCCGCCGGAACTCTACAGTCAAGGCCATCGGCGCGCCGGTGCAGTAGCGGCTTCTTCGTTGCGGCTTCTTCGTTCCGGTTTACGGAAACTCCCTATTAGGGATTTTTCGTAGATAGTTTTCTCTGGTCCGCTAGGCTCTCAGCAAGAAAAGGGAGTTTTCGTAGATCGTTTTCGCCGTCCCGCAAGGCCTTCCGCAACCCGCTACGATAGCGGGAACTCCACAGTCAAGGCTATCGGCGCGCAGGCGCAGTTGCAACTTTTTCGTTGCGGAACGCTTAGCGGAGGGGGCAACGCGGTCTACGAAAACTCCCTATTGACGCCGCTAGTGCGCCTGCGCGCCGTTGGCCTTGACGGCAAAGTTTCGTATCTCGCAGCGGGTTGCGGAGAGCGCTGCGGGACGAAAGAAACGATCTACCAAAACTCCCTATTTTTCTTTGCTATATTTGGCGGAAAAATCAAACAATAGGGAGGTAGCGTTTTCCCCTCCTCTAAGCCCTCCGCAATGAAGAAGCCGCTACTGCGCCTGCACGCCGGTGCCCTTGACTGCAGAGCTCCGGCATCGTGGCGGGTGGCGGAGAGCGTTGCGGGACGGCGAAAACGATCTACGAAAACTCCCTTTTGATGTTCCCTGACAGGACGCGACGTCACGTCATGTTATTACGTGACACCATCGAGTGACGTCACTCTACGACTACGTGTTCACGTGACGTGGCACCATGGAACCGATTCCCCGCTAAATTTAGCGAGCAAATGCACGGACGAACGGACAGACATATTTCTGGACTATAGTTCAAGGGAAGCTCCTCTCGCCTCTTTCCACTTTCGCAGAGCGAACGCTAGAGAGGGGTGGTCTTCTCCCCAGCGTTCGCTCCGCTAAAGTGGAACGGGGTGAGTGCATTCATCAATACTGTCGTTGGGTGCTTGATCGATATGGTAAAGCTCTGGTGCACATGATGTGAGGTAAGACAACTAAATATGCAGAACAACGCATTCACAGGCATTTGTTCACTACGATTGGTACATTTATATTTATAACCAATTGTGTTAGATTAACAGGAAGCGTTTCTTTGCTAAATTTAGCGGGGAAACTACGTGTTACACTTTCATGCTACACTTTGGGGGGCTGCTTATGCTGCCCTCTAGTAACTGGCAGGCTGAAAACGGTCAGAGCGATCTTTTTCTGGTGCACGGCCTCCAGCAGCTCCAGCACGCATTCGCTGCCTTCCATCGTACTCTGGCTGCGTGTGCACGCTCGAGGGTCACGAGACACCGCCGAGAAAATGAGGGAGAGGAGGAGACGAAAGCGCGAGTTGACGTCAGAACGCCGAGCTGTGGTTGGAAGGGTTAGTGGGTGGCCGTAACGCTAGGTGCCTTTGTCTCCACTGCACTTTGGTTTCTTTCTTTCTTTCTTTATTAATACTGTTAACCTCTTCCGAGGTTGTTACAGGAGTGGATGAAACATAATATCACACAGTTTACACTTGCTGCAATAACTTGGAACAAACATATAAGAAGTTAGTAGTATTTACGACATCAGGTGGCAAACTATTCCAATCAATAATTGTTCGAGGAAAGAAGGAGTATTTAAATGCGTCATTTTTATAACTATATGGCTTTATTGTTCTGCTGTGAAAATGCCTAGTAGACCTGGGGCAAAAAAAATGTAATGTAATCATCTTTGTCTATTCCAAGCTCGTCGTTAACGATAAGGTAGAGGAATTTTAAACGATTCATTCTCCTTCTTTCCTGTAGGGTTTCCAGGCCCGCCTCAGCACAAAGTTTTGTGGGGGACACATAAGAGGAATACATATTGTACACAAAACGCACCGCTAATCTCTGAATTTTCTCGAGTTCTGAAATACAACATGATGTGTGGGGATCCCAGATGACACTAGCATATTCTAACATTGGCCTAACCAGAGTTTTATATAATAATAACTTTGTCTCACGGGAGCCATGCTTCATATACCTGCGAAGAAAACCCAACTTACTCATTGCTCTACTACATATGTTACTAACATGTGTGTGTTATAGTCAAACCCAGATACTTATATGGGCAAACTCTAAGAAGGCTATAGTTACCAATAGAATAATTAAAAAGTAAAGGACTTTTCTTACGAGTAATAGACATACAAACAGTCTTTGATAAATTCAACGACATTTGCCAATCGGCACACCATAGACAATCTTTCTAGTGAGGGATTTAATACTTCACAGTCTCCGAGACTTTTGATTTCTTTAAAAACAACACAATCATCTGCAAACAATCTTATTTTGACTGGAATTTTACAAACAATATCATTAACAAATATTAAGAACAATAAAGGCCCGAGAACTGATCCTTGTGGCACACCAGACGTAACGTGTGCAGTACCGGAACACGCGCTATCAAATTGTACAAATTGTTGTCTCATAGTCGAATAACTTTCTAGCCACCTCAAAATATTAGTATTATTTAAGACAACCGCCAATTTCGTTAGTAGCTTCTCATGTGGAACGCGGTCGAACGCTTTTGAAAAGTCCAAGTATACAACGTCAGTTTGCCCTCGAGTATTAATTACCGACGCGAACTCGTGCACCGTTTCGGTCAGTTGGGTGATGGTAGACACTTTTTGTCGGAAACCATGTTGAGCCTTAGTAAAAAAACTATTTTGCTCCAGATATGCCGATATGTGTTTAAATACAATATGTTCCAAAATTTTACTGCAAATACTGAGCAAGGAAATAGGTCGCTTCCGAACGTGTTCGACGAGTGCAGTGGAGACAAAGGCTTTGCGTCTACCCACTAATATCCTTCGAAGCAGAGCTCGGCGTTCTGACGTCCCCTCGTTTCCTCCTCTCCCTCAATTTCCCGGCGCATAAAGATTATTGACCAACAAGCGGCTTCGACGTGACGCCGCTGCGGTGGCTGGTGTCGGCGCATGCGCAGAGACGCCTCGCCTTACGCGGTTTCTGTGCACGCGCGGTGTAATGGTGTGGGCAAACGCAGGCGGGCTTGTAAACAGCGCGTTGGTGTATACACAAGCTCGCGCTTGGACAACTGGAGGACCTCCCTGCCGTTCTAGTCCGTTAAGAATAGCCGGACAAGCTACTTCCACACTGTCCGCTTCGGTAGAACGAACGCTGGGGAGAAGACGAGTGGAGAAAACGAAACCACGCAAGCAGACAAGCTTTAAAGGAGGGGCTTTTTCTGGAATTTTCAGCCTGCAACAGACTATATAGCCAAAATCTCAGTCTGCGTACAACGATCGTCCGGTGATCTACCTAAGATCGTCTTCCCCATCGCCCTGTCAGTGGTCGAGTCCCTCCGCGACCTCCTGCCAGCCGACTCCGTGATCATCTACTTCAAGCTGGAGCTGATCCGTCCGCTGGACTGCACCGAGGACGTGACCCACGAGGGCATCTTCGGCGAGTTCCTCTTCCGTGCCGACGCGGCCCCGGGGGCCCTGCGGTCGGGCGAAGCGGCACGGCAGTTCCCGGCGTCCACGGACGGCGGCGCTGTTTTCCACAACGTGCTGCCAGGCGTGCTCATGTTCCAGGCGCTGCACGTGACCGAGGCCGGCCTGGAGGGACACGCCGTCACCTCCTACTTTACCGAGGCCTCCACCAAGCGCACCATTCAGGCAAGCGCGCTAGACGAGAGTATCTGCAGTATCCATTTCGCACCACAAATTTGTTCTTTTTTTCGCTCGGCAAGAACAAGCAGGAATGACCACCACTATGGCACTGTGACTTCACGTGGAATCCACTATAGCTCATATAAACCTTCCGTAAAGGTCCGTTTTCTCTCAGCCCTTTGAGTGTATTGGTTCTCTGTTTGTGCGTAAAGGTCCTATAAATGTAGGGGTCATAGGATTGGGTCATGGGTCGAGGTTGCCTGGATTGGGTTTCCATGGGCGCGCTCGGCGAGCTCGCGACATTTCTCTTTATGGTCTACCGTGGTGTTGGGATGGCAGTACGTTTTCTCCGAAGTTGCGTATGGCTCCCTGGCTGGCTGGCTGTTCTAGCTGTGATGTCTCGATGCCTCGAGGTGCCGTAAAGAGAGCCACTCGCGTGACTTTCTCGCGAGTGTCCGCGGCCATGCCCCCCTTTGCCGACGTCGCCCTCTGCCTGCACGCAGGTGACGTCGGCGGCGCTGTTCTGCACGATGCACAGCGCGCGGCTGATGCCTTTCATGCGGTCCCTGCGCGATAGCTTCGGCACGACGGCCAACACGATCGCCGTGGCCTTCCCGCGCAACCAGGACGAGGCCCTGCCCGAGCTGGAGGCCTTCGAGCGCTGCTTCCCGGACGTGCCGGCGCTCGCCAACCAGGCCACCGAGTTCAACGTGGACGGCCAGTACGCGCCGCTGGGGCGCCTCAAGCTCATCCTGTTGCTCATCAAGCTGCTCGAGTGACGGCTTTCTACATAGTCTCCCTTCTTCGCCGATCATCGCCCCAAAGAATATTAAAAATCCTCATAATCGAAACCCCGAGATAGATTAACGACTCGCCAGCATATACTTTAGTTTCTTGCAATGGACCTTTCCCTAAGACACCTCGATGTGTTTAACTTGCAAGTATAAATAGCGTCGAATCCGCCAAAGCACGTGGCCCGTTCCTTGCGCGTCTTTTGGAAGCAAATGGCGGCGCAGCACTGAAATGAACGGAGCGAATAATGGCGCGGCACTCGCTCGAAGCACGTATCTCTCACGTATACCGAAAACAATGGCTGTCGGTACAAGGAAGAAACACGAAGCGTAAATTTTGTCAAGAGACTAACTTTTACAGCGAAGCTGTTATGCGCTAAGATCTGGGAAAAAATCCGTCCGCGGATGTTGACAGACAACCCCCCATTGGTCGTGGCAAGTATGAACAAATAAAAATAAAAAAGAGGGGCAACACAGAGCTGGCCAACCCAAGGGAAATTTCCTAGATTAAGGTAATACTCAGGTCTATGTGGTAATAAGGGAAATCATGCTAGTGTGAGAGGAATTTTGGGCGCCATATATATATCTGGAATTTTATAGGCCAATTATGATTTTATTTCGAGATAACATCGGATTTTAGCGGCTTTGGCTCCATTTAGGTTATTACCACCAGCCGTTTGGCGGTTTGGTGAGACCGTATGAAAACACTGAGGAACACTCAAATAACTTTTTTTTCGGCAAAATCAATTATTTATCTGTTTTCATCGCCCCCGTGCAAACTATGGAGGAAGAGATCAGCCAAGTGGAAGCTTCTGAGAGCGCTGCTGCGCCTTCTCGAAAAAGAAAGCTTGAGCACAAGAGGAAATACTGCGATGTCTGAAGACACAGACTTACCATGACTAATATTTCGTGAAGAGCCGTGCACGAAATTGTGCCTGGTGGTTTCATTTGAAATCAATCACGCTTGTCAAAGCATTTCTGAAAAAAAAAAAAAAAGTTTTTTTTCATTTTATATATATATATATATATATATATATATATATATATATATATATATATATATATATATATATTAAGTGGAGCAGGGTGAAGATTTTTTTTTTTACTCTGATTTTTCTACTCAGTTCTGTACACTATATGAATACAGAAAGCATACAAAACTCGACAGTAATTTTTTGTGTGCTTGTATATCATGCCGACTATTTTCAGCTAAAAAAAAAAAAAAAAAAAAAAGCTTTAGTATTTTTTTTTGTTTTATTGAGGTAAAAATGCCAAACATCGTCTCTTTGACAATCCGGTGGCATATTCAGAGCCTTGGAACTCATAAGGTATTATATTGTCGCTTACCAAATACTATGCGGGCATAGTCCTATACGTGGGCTCAGTGGCGTACCAACTTGTCTTTGAGTGTGTGTGTGTGTGTGTGGGGGGGGGGGGGGAACAAGACCCCCCCCCCCCCCCGGGGCAGTGCCCTTGGTATTCCTTGGGCGCCACCGGCCAGTGTTTGCCCTGCCCAGTGGCAGCTGGGGGGGGGGGGAAGGGGGGGGGGGGCAAAGCACATGCCTTGCCCCCCCCCCCCCCCCACTCTGAGAACTGGAGAAGCAAGCGCCCCCTTGCAACCCCCCCCCCCATGTTGGTACGCCCATGCATAGGCTATCGACGGGCGTAATTAAGTTTAGCTTATTTTCACGGAATATTTTATATAATATCTGAAATTTCGTCCAAAATTAAATTTATCGATATTTTGAGCACGCTTTATCGAAAAATCCCATTTTTTTTATTTTGTTCAATTTTTTTATTATTGCTGCCGATCATATTAGCTTTCAATTGGCTTGATGCGATTTCCCTTTTTTTTTTTTTTTGTATTTTTTTTTAGAAGTGATTGAAAGCGCACCCACGTTCTCGGAACGGCCAACTGCAGTTTCCGCAGGTCGGCTTCACTTCAAAGATTATAACTGCTTATTTTTCTGTTAAAAGGCAGGGGGTAATTTTTTTCTTTTTTATTGAAAACACTCCTGTTTGGTTGCATATTGTATGTTCTTAAATTTGTAATGATGGCAGCTGACATTCCTTAGTCCGATCGTTAGCGGTGCAGAGGATGTTCCATTATCCGGTGTGTAAAGCTCCGGTGTGTAAACCCAGGGCACAAAGGGCGGAGAAAGCGGAACGAGCTCTTTATGTAGCCAGACCGGGGTTTCACAGATCCGTTTGTGCAATTCAGAGCTTGTAAGGCTTGAAGCACCTCGCCACTATACACAATTTTCGTTCGCAGGACGGCTCCCTGATACGTACGGCCGTCAAAGGACTTCGTTCACAAAAAAATTAAAACAATGACAAGAAGCGTTGTGCTTTTCGACTTATCGGAGAAAGAAATCGATACATTCAGGAAGCACAAAAACGAAGAGTGGGCCTCCGTACGTGCTCGCAAAGAGATACGCTCCTCACATATGTGGTGCATGCCAGCGCGAGCCAGACCAGGAACCTAGGGTGACATTAGCACGAGATGTACAGTCTCCCGCAATATGAAAGACACATTCGCCGATGCTGCTTATACAGCGGTGCCAAGTCCACCTTGACTGGACGCGCTTTATTTTGAAGGAGAAAATATAACAAAAATTGATTTATTTCCAAACCCAAGCAATGTGTGCCTAGCCAAAGCGAATCTACCGTATCTACCTAAAAAATCGTAAAATCGCTTTTCCATATTTCCGAAGGCTATGGACGCTTTGCAGCAGCTGTTCATGGGCGCCGCCATAACCGACCTTCAGTTTTTGTTTCCTCTTATTCCGTTCACTTCACTTCGTCATTAACATAGCAGGCCAGGTCATTGCCATTTTAGATTCTACCGTGTCCTTCCCCCCATCATTGGTCTTTCTGCGGACTCGTCAACGCCTGTCTTTGGTGGCTCGGTGTCTCGGTAAAACAAGAGAAACTCAGCAATGGCGGATGTAATTTGGCGTATGTAAAGCGTCTTTGCATTGAAAGGCCGCTAAAAAGAAAAAAACAATTTTTTTAATCAGTTTGGTTGGGACATGCGTGTCAAAAAATAAATTTTAAGCAAAAAAAAAAAACTTTTTAGAGCAATATTGACGGCGAGAGAGAGAGAGAAAAAAATCTTTTATTGGCGGAATATGAGAATTCCTCGTTGTGGCCGTTGTGGCGGCGACCTCCTTTGCCCTTTCCACCAAGGCGCTTTACACCTCTGGGTCGGAGCTTCGGAGCGAGGTCTCCCACTCATCATGGGATGGGATTGAGGGAAAAGGGTCTTGTGGGCAAGCCCATATTATGTGGGGCAGAGTGGCTTTGTCTCCACATAGGGTGCATTCCGAGGTGGGGTACATTGAGGGGAAGATGTGGGTGAGGATAGCGGGGTTAGGAAAAGTGCCCGTCTGGAGTTGGCGCCAACTATGGGCCTGCTCCAGGGTAAGGGACTTGTCGGCTGGCGGGTAGACCTGACGGGAGAGGAGGTAGTGTGTGGTGATTTCATGGAAGCTGGATGGACGGTCCCTGGCGGATCTAGCCCCGTGATAGGGATGGAGGCTAGGCCCTGCCCGGATAGTGTATCCTCGGGCTTGTTCATGGGCCGCCTCGTTTCCCTCGAGACCAGCGTGCGCGGGTGTCCAGACCAGTCTGACGGAGGTCTGGGGCGGGTTTCTGTGAAGAATTTTGAGCGCTGGCTTGGAAATGCGGCCAGCTGCGAAATTTTGAAGGGCGGTTTTAGAATCCGTGATGATCACTGAGGGGGTTGGGATCACAGTGAAGGCGAGGGCTATGGCTACCTCCTCCGCCGTTTCTGGGTCAGTGGTCAGGACGGTGACGGCGTCGATGGGGGTGTGTAAGTTGTCAGTCACCGCCGCCGTGAAAGCCCCATGGTGCCTGTATTCTGCCGCGTCGACATATAGGACACCCGGGTTATCCCCGTAGGTTCTTTGCAGGGAAATGGCGCGTTGTTTCCTGCGAGCAAGGTTGTGGGTGGGGTGGACGTTTCGAGGTAACGGATTTGCTATAATTTTGTTGTGGATGTTGGGCCTGATGGGGGATTTGTCTTGGTGGAGCTTGTGACATCCAATGTTTAGGCTGGCGAGTATGTGCCTACCAGTGGGGGTGCGGGAGAGTCTAGTCAGTTGGGCAGCACGATGTGCTTCTATTAATTCGTCCAGGTGATTATGCAAACCGAGTCCTTCCAGTTTGGCAGTTGGAGTGCTAGGCGGTAGGCGCAGTGCTATTTTGTAGGCCTTGCGGATCAAGGTATTAACCTTATTGGTGAAGGCCGGCGTGAGGCGTAAGTATGGGGCCGAGTATGTTAGCCGGCTTAGGACGAATGCCTGTAGGATGCGTATGCGATCCTGTTCGTTGAGGCCTTTATGTTTATTTGTCACCCTTTTCAGTAGGCCTATTGTTTGATTAATCTGACTTTCTATTCGCTCAAGAAATTTGTTATTGAGCCTATTCGCCTGGATCTGCAGTCCCAAGATTTTGAGCTCCGAGACCACTGGGATTGGCCTGTCATTGATGTGTAGTTCGATGTCAGCGTTGTTTTGTTTCCTAGTGTTGGAGGGCCGAAGTAGTATTAGTTCGGATTTCGCCGGAGAACAAGCGAGACCTGCTCTCTCTGCTTCCTCCGCTACTATGTCAACCCCTTGTTGTAGTGTTTCTTCTATATTGGCGTCACTCCCTCTGCCGATCCAGAGGGTGATGTCGTCCGCATAAAGACTGTGTCGGAGTTGGGGAATTTGGCCTAGCCTTTTGGGGATGTTGATGACTGCCAGATTAAAGAGAATGGGCGAAAGCACAGCCCCTTGCGGGGTTCCCCTGCTGCCCAGTTGGGTAGTGTCTGACGCGAGGTCGCCAACGTTGACTACGGCAGTTCTCTCGGAGAGGAATGCTTTGATGTAGTTGTACGTCCTCTCTCCGGGGTTTACTGACCCCAGACCCCCCAGGATGGATTCATGGGTGACATTGTCGAATGCCTTTGTGAGGTCTAGGGCCAGGATGGCTGCCGTGTCGAGGTTACCTGTGGATTTGATTATTTGTTCAGAGAG